TGCACTTAGCTGAGAAAGCCCCTCCTTCAGATGGAAAGAAAAAAAATGCCATGAAGACTTCTAGGACATGCGACTTTTTTTGGCCTAGAAAATTAGGAAGCAGCTGAAGAAATGTTTAAAAAAAACAAAAAAAAACTTAAAACCAAAAAATACAATACCTTCTTATCTATTTACTAATGCTAGCAGCATAAAGATTCAAAAGAGTTAATGTTGATTGAGAGAGTTTAGTTCTGCTTTAGGTCTACTCTATACAGATGTAGCACTCTGTGTCTCCAAGCATGACTTGTCTACAAAGTCATGTCACTGAGAGCCGACACTGTTGCCTGAACTTGTTTTCTTACACAGACAGCACATAGTTAACAAAATAATATTTTAAATATAAAAATGTACAGTATTTTATTTTGTCCATTTGTATGAAAGGTTAGGGTTCTGCTCCTCAATATCTCACATCATGTCCCTAGCTAATAAGGGCCCAGGAGCATAAAACAGGCCAAGGGTAGCTGGATCTTCTCTAACCCTCAAGAGCTACAAACCCTAACAAAGCTAAAAAGCTAAATTTGATGATATTTCAAGCTGAGTTTTGCTCATTGCTATTCATTTGAGCCTAGGGTAGCAAAAAACATAGCCTGGCGATCACAACACGATTCTATTGTATATGCAAAGTTATGGTACACTACAGAATCCAGCACAAACCTGTTCATTGGAATTGATTAAATATGGTCTGAGATGATGTTAAACACTATTCAGATTGGTGACTTGCTGAATGATTGACTCCCATGTAAATACAACTTTATTACATGTCATAAAGACATAGAATATAACACCACCAACATGATCTGACCACTAGGCATGATCATAGTGAAGCTGGCCATACACAGTAAAATTATTGTTCTAATGTTTTTCATAGAAATTCTTCATAATTCTTCATCAGAACATTTTTACTTGCCATCACTAATCAACGCATTTTTATTTGAAAGGCCCTAGAAGTTCATTCAGACCTGTTTTTTGAATGGAATCCCAGACATATTAACCACTTGCCTACCGGGCGCTTATACCCCCTACTTTACCAGGCCAATTTTCAGCTTTCAGCTCTGTCGCACTTTGATTGACAATTGCGCTGTTATGCAAGATTGTACCCATATGAAATTTGTATAATTTTTTTTCTCACAAATAGAGCTTTCTTTTGATGGTATTTACTCGTCGCTGGGTGTTTTACTTTTTGCGCTATAAACAAAAAAATTGCAAAAAATTAAAAAAAAAAAAGTTTCTTTGTTTCTATTATAAAATTTTGCACACGGCTAATTTTTCTCCTTCACTGATGTGCGTTGATGAGGCAGCACTGATGGGCACTGATAGGCGGCACTGATGGGCACTGATGATGGGTACTGATAGACAGCACCAATAGGTGGCACTGACTGGCATCACTGCTGGGCACTGACTGGCGGCACTGCTAGGTATTGACTGGTGGCACTGTTAGGCATTGACTGGCGCAACTGCAGGGCACTGACTGGCAGCACTGCTGGGCTGCACTAATGGGCACTGGTGGGTGGTACTGGTGGGTGGCACTGGTGGGCACAGGTGGGTGGCACTTCTGGATGGCACTGCTGGGCACAGGTGTGTGGCACTGCTGGGTGACACTAGTGGGCACTGCTGGGCACAGGTGGTTGCACTGCTGGGCACAGGTGGGTGCACTGCTGGATACAAGTTGGCAGAACTGGTGGGTGGCACTTCTGGGCACCGATCATCAGGCCACTGATCATCAGTGCCCTGATGATCAGTGCCAATCCCTGCTCTAGCAACTGCCGGTTCTCGACAGTACTGTCCTCACGATCTGACAACGTGAGGAAAGTGCAACCGAGAAGCGTCAATTGCATTTCCCTGTGATCAGCGTGTCATTGGACACGGCTGATCACGTGGTAAAAGGCCACTGTGATTGGCCTTTTACCACATCACGTGATCAGCTGTGTCCATAGGACACAATGATCACGGAGATCACCGGTGCGCGCCCCCGGGGGCACACAGGAGAGCGCATTCTGGGAGGACGTCATATGACGCCCTCCCAGAAACTGGCCGGCCGCAGTGTAGCCCTCATTCGGCTATCTGCGGTCGGCAACTGGTTAAAATAGTTTCATTACAGTATGAATGAGCAAATACCATTCCTAGTTAGTTTAATTTAATTGGAAATAGTTTTTGATTTGATCCCACTATTATTAATTCAAACAAACTTTCCAAAAATGTATACTTTGAAATGACATTCTACTGATGTATGGTTAGCTTTATAGTGTTACTAAACCCATATCAGTAAAATCAGTCTGTATATGCAGTAAGGCATGCTTGTTAAACTCACTATAGAACCTAAGGGGTAATCCTCCACATTGTGTAAAAAGGCTGTTTGATCCTGTCTTCTTTGATCCTCCTCTTCTTTTTCTGTCCCCAATCTGTCTGCCATAATACCGGGCAGCAGTAGCAAGTCTGCACATGCTTTGTTTGGTGTGTATTGTTAGAGAGTTTTTTGGGGAAGGTGCATGTAATCGGTACAGGGTCCAGACAGAAAGTCAGGGGTCATGCAGCCTCATAAAACAGTCAGAGGAGAATGAAAATTCCTCTTACAAGATTAACCAGTGTGCGGCTGGACACTGATAGAAGTCACAAGACTGCTATATACTGCTGATGAGAAAAGGTATTTATCAGTTTATATTTACTAAAGTAATTGCATTTCCATGTTCTGTATACTGTGGAAGACCAGATATAGTGAATGCACAGTCATGGGTTTAGTAACACTTTACATACCTGTTATATTCAGAATTTACGTAGAACTAAACTAACCCAACATAGATCAGTTATAACTCACCGTCCTGCTAAACCGTGAACATCATCATAGCTGTCATAGACCTCTAAGTAGTCAGACAGACAGTCCATGTCCTCCTCAATGTCCATTTCTAAAAACTGTAGACGAATCCGTTGGCCAACCTTAACACGGATATGCCAGTAGCAGATCTGTTCATTCTCATATTCGTTCGGATATCCTGGAGATTTAAATATCCTCTCTGGTTCAGTAAATACTCCTCCACACTCCTTCGCTGAAATGTAGAAAATACATAATATCAGAAGGAAACTGACTTCATGAGAAACTTGTACTATCATTTCCAATCTGATTCTTAAGTTGCTCGCTGTGTCATGTCATGCTGATCCCCTGACTTTACTGACCCAAGACAAGGTCAGGCCTGCATGTTTGCTCTAGGTCCATGAACAGTCTGCCCCATCATTTGTGTCAGTGGGAAGAATAGTGCCCTATCGTTTGTGTCACTGGGAGGAATTGTGCCTTTTCTTTGGTGTCAGTGGGAAGAATAGTGCCTCATTGTTGGTTTCAGTGGGATAAATATTTGCCCATTGTTGGTATCAATGGAAAGAATTATACCCCATTGTTGGTGTCAGTGAGAGGGATTGTGCCCTTTCAATGGTGTCAGTGAGAGGGATTGTGCCCTTTCAATGGTGTCAGTGGGAGGAATTGTGCCCTTTCATTGGTGTCAATGGAAGAAATACCGACCCACTGCTGGTGTCAACGACAGAAATTATGCCCCATTGTTCGTGTCAGTAGATAGAATAGTGCCCCAAGGGATAAAGACAAGCAAAGGGCCACATTCAGCCCCTGGGCCACAGTTTGGAGACCACTGGTCAAGCCCATCAGGACATATCGCAATTTGTCTTTTGACTAACCTGAGAGGCAGTCCAGTTATAGCTAAGATCAGATACCTTGATATTACATGTTTATTTAAATCAGGACTTTAGCCTTTTTGACAGGTTTCCTCCTCCTTTTGATCGTTTACCTTTTTATCAAAATCTAATTCTTTACAGCCCATCTTCTCTCATTCGCCTAGGCGAAGCATGTCAGTGCCCCATAGTGCCTCTCGATATATGAGACGCGGATATCCCGAAAGGCCCCAGAAACATAAATTCACTAGAAAAGGAGGGGATGGGCCTAGTGACACATCGTCAGGAGGAGTGCCTCCCAATGACATCCCAGAAAAGATGACAGCATGGGAGCCGAGTCCTGGCTACAGAGAAGGGGATATCAGCAGGACAATGCTAGATCCACTGGGTAGGTGAGTATCCTTCCTGAGGAGAACACCGCTACAGGTAGGCAGGGGAAACAAAATGTAGGAGGGTAGGGTAAAGTTACTCTTTCATTTTTATCCTGAATTAAGTGTTTAAAGAGAAGAGGAAATCTGTCACATGACATGTTTGAGGCTATGCAGGGCTGGGCTGAGGGGTAGGCAGAAGAGTGGTCACCTTGGAAGTTTCAATGGAGGGGATGCTAAAAGGACAGAAACTTCAACCTTTGCTACCAAAATAGTTCATAGCTGATTGGAGATGGGGAGGGGGTCACTTTGGCTTTTTCATTTTGGGCACTAAAAGGCCTTGTACAAAAGGACTAAAAGCTACTAAAGGACCTCATAGATATAGATATCTTTTATTAATAAAGGTAGCTGTGTGGTTGGTGTTTTTCCTAAGCAATAAGGTGGCTCAGCAGAAGGGGATGGAGCCAAGTGCAGTGTTTAAAGGAAAAATCTAAATTTCATTATGGTATGGTAACACCTAATTGGGGTTTTGTATGCTCAGTTTGAAATGACCAAGTTTATTACCAGTTTACTATAATTAATGTTCGGCAAGGCAAGGAGGGAGGGGGCTCCTTTCCATCAGCCATAAGGGAGACTAGAAAGAAGACAAGTAACATGGAAAGGGCACTAAAATGCACGGTCAGCCAAAGTTCAGAGTAAATAATGTTATCCCTGTTTGTCTAATAGGCATCCCATGTGGAAGTATTTGAAATACAAACTGTGCTGTTCAAAGTAATCTGTTATAACGTTCCTCACTTTTCTAACTTACAAATATCAGTTATTACACAGCCTGAAAAAAATGCAAAGTAAGATATATGCTTCCATACCATGTGGATTGTAGCAGTAGGCATCCCATTTTTCACTTTTGTTTAACCGGAAGCCATAATCTATAATGCCTATCTTTCCAAATCCACAATTAAAAGTAGGTTTTACTATTGGATAACCAACTCTTCCTTTGTGGAGCCATCCAGCAGCACATACATGGAACCCTGTAGACCATAAAGATTGAGAAAGATCAGTTCCAAAAAAAAGATTTTATTAAGTAACAGCAATTCTATAGGTAAAGTTAGTAAAATTCTTGTTTAAAGAGACCCCATAACCAAGGAGTAAATTTTGAGTTAAAAGTATTAATAAATTAGTTTTTACATTTACGGCCACCCTTTTTTCCTGAAACTTTTCTTCATTGTTAATTCCCTGGCTCTTCCATTTCTTAGCTACAGTCCCTCCTACTTCACCACAGTCTTCTATGATGGTCTTAGTTGATCCCCCTGTGTGCCTGCAGCAGCCGGCAGAAGGGAGAAGAGAGGAAACTGGTAGCTCTGTGGGGGGCACACAGGGCAACCTGTGTAGCAGGGCAAATCAGTATTTGGACAGGGAGGGTGATTGGTACAGTGGGGTAGCAATTACTGGAACAAATCCCCCTGTGTGGCTTTCCATGCAGCAATTGCTGCCAGCCCTAGCAAAAGGAAAAGAAGCCCACTTTCAGCTGCTGCAAGGAGAGCCACACAGGGGGATTGGTTCCAGTAATTGCCCCCTCATAGCACTGATCACCCTCCCTGTCCACAATCTGATTCACCTGCTAATCAGCTGACCAGAACCCCCTGATGAATGAATGCAGCCAGAGCCTCATCCCAGGAGGGCCAGCGATACCCACTTTTTGGCTACCCTGGGTGAGGGTAAACCTTGTGTGGAAGCCTGCACTGGTGACCACTATGAAGGAATTAACCCTTGGTTTGTAGGCATTTTTTTCTCTCTTCTTATAACATCACCAGAATAGGAAATGAAGGGAAATCTACCCACCAAAATGTTTTGGCTATACTTTATACTTAAGCTTAATTCCTACTATGGGCTTAAACATAAATTATTTTTATTTCCAAAGAATTCATCCAAAAATAAAGAGCAAGCATGGGTAAATAGCTTTTATTCAGAGCCCAATTGTAGTCATACATTTTATTTAACTTTGTATAGCATGAAGAAGGATTAAAGCCTCTGTCAGGTTGATAAAATAGGAACTGATGTGAGATCCGATGAGGACACATTGAAAAATCCCTCATTAGGGTGGGGACGGGTTATAACGTCTGACAATATTTTAATGATGTCTAGGTTTTTCCATCCTGGTGACAACGATCTCCTTATTGTTTGGCCTGGTGTCACAGGGACAGGAAGCTAGCAAAAAAGAATATGTGTTACCCATAGCAACCAACCAATTTACTAGTCTAGTTCAAAAATGAAACCAGCATCAGCTTTCTTTTTTACATGAGACCCACATGCCTTTATGCTTTGGTAGGGGGGGATGGAAAGAAGATATAATGACCTTCATTATCCCTAACAGTATCCAATTAGCTGTTATGTTGCGTAATATTTCTAGGATCAAACAACATGTCTGATGCTGGTTTTCGGTTCATTTAGCTTGCTGACTGTTGTGTAAATAAAACTAAAATCAAAAGGTCTCTTAAATACAGGAAGTCTTAAGGAATAGAGAAATAGTTTCTTATTTTACAGGACATAATTAAAGAGAACATGTTGCTTAGTAGCTGATATAGTGATGGGAAAATATGAATTTTCTTTTCATTTTCTTTTTTTACAATTAAGGTATCGTGTATTTGACCATTTGAAAATGATTGATGATTAATTGGATATGGCAGCATAAATTTAAAGGATGACTATATTGAAAAATATTATAGTCTGTTAACTTAAATGTATAATTGAGTTAATCATTTAACAACAGTATTCTGCATAAGATCTTTCTTTTTAAATTTCAAATGCCTTTATTTATATTTTTCTCCATGTTTACTTGCAGGCCAAGCTGTCCAAGAAAAAATTGCAGTTACACAGGTTGGCACACACCATACAACGCTTTGGGATTGCTTACAATGGACAGCTTTTATACATATGGTTGAAACTCTTTTTTCCAAAATTTAAAAAAAGAAAAACTTTTGCTGTAATTGCTTAAATGTTTAGGCCATACATAGTAAATTTTCAAACAAAAATTCTTACAAATATTATTAGTATGTTTGAGTTAATGTGAGTAATTTGAAGTTACTTCAAATTTTTGTTTGCTTTTTTCACATTGAATTTCGGAGTAAATGCAATTTCCCAAACAAAACCACTTCAGCGTTAGCAAATTGTTTTTAAAAAAAAACAAAAAAACCCTGCTCCTTTAAATCTTCTCATTGCAGTCAAAAACATATATTTATTTGACCCCACTAACAATTCAAAAATTAGATGAACACACGCAAAATGCTACTGGCTGTTAAATGTTGTCATTCAATATTTTATATTTGCTTTAATAAGATATTTAAAAAATATAGCTAAACATAATCAACTAATCAAGGGAAAATAAATCAAAGGAGAAAATTAAAAAAGCTTTTTATGCATACTATGTATTTATATGTTAGTAACAGTGTACTTGCAGCCTAACACTTTTTTCACTTTTGGGATAGAGTGAGGAAAGAAAGATGCTCTATCTTGTTTTATTGTTATCTGATGCTTGGTTGGAGAAATGTTCCCTCATTTCCTTTCCTTAGTGTGAAATTTCCAGGAGGGACACAGACATCAGTAAAATACTCTTTCTTTCAGTAGTGTAGACAACCAGAACCCTTGTCTACTTTTTATTGCTACCTGTGTCTCAAAGAGGGATTTCCCTTCCAGTGATATTAAAGGCATTTTTTAAAACTTTTTTTGCACCATGTGATCTGGTTGGGGTGCAGCTCAAAAAAAGCTGCATGCACGTCTTTGGTGCAATGCGGTGTGATTTGAGCCCATTTAAAAAGAATGAGCTCAAATCGCACCACACTGAATCGCATGTGAATTGCACAGGATTGCGGTGCAGTCCCTGTGCGACTCACATGCGGTGTACAGTGTGAAACTAGGCTTTCACATGAGTAAGGTTCTTTCTCTTCATTATTCTATCCAATAAATACGATTTTTTTGGCTTTCCTCATTAATATTAATATGCAATACAGGCTTCTGGCCTTTCAGGAAGCCAGTTCTTGTTGATATAAGGACGGATTTATTAATATTATGATATGAAGTAATACTCATTTCTGATTTCATGTTCTTCTCATTTTACAACTCATGAAAAAAAAAAACTTGAGGAAAAGTTACACTTTGCAGGAAGATTTTGTTGGCTTGTCTGGTATTCAGAGGAAATGATCTCATGTAAGTGAGTACATGGAGAATTGTAAGTACCGTATTACTCCTTTACTTACACAATGCTATTATTTTACCCTTGCCAAAAGTCAACGAATTGCAGATGTTTGGGAAAGCACTTCGCCCCCGAGCCTTTCAGGGATGATTTGAAACATTTCTTTTTTCAAAGATACATTAGGAAACTGCAATCTGAAATTCATTTTTTTTTTCAGTAAATCATTTGGGATGCAATAATCAAGATTAAGGATCAGACATAAAATTACTTTCGTTGTGTGGGGTGTGCAGGGGTGTTCTGCATGCAGTACTTTTTTTGTCAGCTAAAGGTTTGGGATAATTTACATAAACGTATGAAGTGGGATTTTAATTCACAATTAATGTCACTAAGGAATATGGAGTATTTTCCACCAGGTATAGAGGGGATTATGGGAAAATGGATTAAAAAGGAAGACATTCAATTAAGGGATATTATGGATGGACAGAAATTGAAAAACATTAAAAGATTTAAAGAAAGGTGGAAGGGAACTTTTTATTAAGATTGATGAGTGGAAATATCACCAATTAAAACACTTTGTTGAGAGTCTTCCGAAACCTATGAGAGGGAGAAAGGAATGGAACTTGTTTGAGAAGTTGTTGGAATCACGGGGAGAGGGGAAACGGGGCACGGCAAAAAATATATAAAATTCTCACGGAGTTAGTCACGGAGGTAAAACCAATGTAGATAGAAAAATGGGAAAAGGACTTGGGGATAGAGATAGATGAGGATAAACAGAGTAAAATATATAGACTCACACATGAAAATATCAGCATGAGAGAAGTGGAGGTCAATTATAAAAGTTTGGTAAGATGGCACATCACACCAAAGGTGGAACATAAAATGGGTATAGAGAGAACACAAGAGTGCTGGCGTGGGTGTGGAGGGATTGGTACGTGGTTTCATATTTGGTGGGAGTGCCCAAAGATTCAAAGTTTTTGGGAGAAAACGGTCAACTTAATAGAGAAAATCTCAGGGATAAAGATAGGATTAGATCCAGAAGTGTGTTTTGTTACATAAGACAGATATACCAGTGAATAAATACAAGGATTCGGGTATATGGTACTATGTGAATGCAGCAAAGGGATTGATACCTAAATTCTGGCATAGTTTAGAGGTTCCGAGAGAAAAGGACTGGGTAGAGAGAGTAAATCAGATTAGTAAAATGGAGAAATTATACTATATCCAAGAAGGTAAGATGGAGATATATAATAGGAGATGGGAGAAATGGGAAGATTTTGTACATCAAACGAATATATATGAAGCAATAAGAAATGAGAAGAGAAGTTTCTTGATTTTATAGGGAAGGAGAAAAGAGAAAAATGCAGAGTGGGAGGGTGGAGGGATGTGGTAGGGTGTAGGGCTAGAGACATGGGATATAAATAGGGGGAAATAGAAGGAGATAGGATTAAGAATTTTATATATGATATGAGAACGTTGATGAAATGTATTGTTATGTTCTTTTTTACTTTCCCTTTTATTATATATGTATTTATAAATATGAAAAATCAATAAATATTTGAATTTAAAAAAAAAAACATAACTACACTCTATCGGCGCACCATAAACCAAAAGTGCTATTTAAATCCTTTTAATGTTCAAGGGAAACTCCCTCATCCATCCATGTCTCCATGCTTTATTTTGCTGAGAAATCACTTAAAAAAGCACCCCCTAGCATTTATGGCCATGGCCATCCTGAGTAAGGGCAGATGATTCATGTAGCCATTGCTTCCTGGAATCCATTAGTTCAGGCATACAAGCAGAAGGGTCTGTTTAGCTGAGAAAAGCCCTCCTCCCTTCCTGAAG